TTTATTTATGTACCTACAGATATACTTGATTGCGCGGATAGAGCTACATGCTTCTACATTAATGTGGGCATTAAACATTTTACATAGAATGGGCGAATACGGGACAATCCAGCTGTTATCTAAGGTTTCGAACGCTCCAGAGCGAGATTTGATTGTAACTTTCCTGCCACCATCTTCAGGAGCTCTGCGTCTATATAAAGGGTAGGCATTGTCATTGTGCACTTTTTCTTTTAATAGCTGTTTAGGGAATTTCTTTGTACATTTTCCTTCTTTAATACACGGCGATATTGAATTTCGTGCTCCACATGGACCGTGAATCATATTTCGGACGATGGTATCATACAATTCTTTATCTTGCTCAGGATCCGGAATCTCGGCGCTTATTATGTCGTCTATTTGGTTGGGCCGCAACTTCTCTTTAAGCCATATTAGAATGTGGGCATGCGGTAATCCTCTTTTTTGCCATTCAATTGAATACATGAAGCACTTCACCTCTCCGAACATTTTCCTTTTGTTAATTATATACATTAATTTTTGTACTTTTAATCTAATTACTCTAGCAACTAAATCGAGTTTGTCAGTACTTTTTTGGCCCGGCATTAGCTCCTCGGTTATTTCTTTCCATGTGGGATTGCAAGTAAAAGTAACAAAAAGATCAGATCTTCTGTAAGTTCGTACATAGGCGAATGCGTCTTGTGTGTACTCATGTAGGTAGCGGGTACTGTTAACGAATAATGAGGGCAGAATTACCATTTTACCTAAATCTCTGGGGTTTACATTGGCGTCGCTAGAAACTGCATCTTGTAAATGTATATAATTCTCAACGCGCAGCTTTTTTTTGATTTAAAGATATATAACGGAGACGTTCACTTTCTACCTTCACATACATGTCTACCAAAAATTGATGAAATAATTGTCTACACCGGGCTAAGAGGTTAAAATCATTTTCTCGCAACATCATATGATACGCATAAAAATCCATACATGATACTTTTTTGTTCGGAGTAGGCTCCTTTGTAATCGGGTTAGTGAGTGGAATTTGAAAATGATAATAACGGATACGAATTTCTTAGGGTGGATAAACGGAATAACCCAAAACAAGGTGGCTGCCATACTAATTTTAAAGAGTTATAAGTTGGCAAAGGTTAGGAATAGTTTGGTGGTGCTCAAACAAATTATTATAGCGACCGACAAGGATAAACTACTGGCGATAAAAAAAATACAAGATGGTGGATCTAAGATGACGATCAAGAACCAACAATGATACATTAAATTAAATTAACAGACTTAAAAACATTTCCAGCAATAACTAAAAAATATATAAATAATGAAAAAATATTTTAAAAAAATGGTCTAAAAAGAATAAAATAAACTTTAAATTAAATTACACCCATCAATTTATTACATTACACAATGTATATGATATAAAAGCTTGACGCGAGACTTACCTTCCTAATGTAATGGATTACTGAAGTCAATGAAAGTGGCGCGTACTGATCGTTTTCTAAATGAACTTAGTGCAAAGTTAAGGATGAAAAAGGCTATAATAGCCACGGATCGTGCGGAAATCGTTGCAGAATTAATGTCCAGAATTGAAGTTTTCGCAATGATGATTCACGATTTGGATCAGCACCCAAACTGAAGGATACGCTCTCACTGAATTTCAGCGTAAATGTATCATAATGTAGTTAGTGATGACAACTGGAGACCCTTATGGTGATGATTACAAGGCAAATTCATCGTATAGTTTAAATGTGATCTAACTATTTGTTATTATCCCTGTGTGTTTGACATTGCAAACTAACTTCCCTCTGTACTAAGCGGTACATCAGGCACAGAAATATGTAATATTGTATATGTAAAAATACAAACTTGAAATTATCATCGTTGGAGAAACGGAACCTTAAAGCATATTGCTAGGGACAGCCGTTAAATCACCTTCAGTTTTTTTCACCTACCATATTTAAATAAATTTATTTTAATACATAATATTTTATTAATATTAGTGCAGCCTCCTATCCCTAATTTCAAGGCATTTTTATCGCTATTTATTCTCAAATTATTGGTCGACATCGATGAAACATGATGTATATAGATTTATTTTCATGTCTTTATTTAACTTTTTTCCTCTCTATTCATAACTTATTATGTATAAAGTTGTTTTCGTCTCCAACTTTTAAAATCGTAAATATACATTTTTAGTAACTTAAGACTGATGATTTTTCATGTTTAATTAAAATATATAGATATATAAAATTTATAAGTATATAATTGAAATTTAACAACATTTTAAGAGTTATGGAATATTTGATTTTAACCCTTAAAATAATGTTAAATTTAAATAAATTCTTAGAAATTTTATTATAATAAAAACTCCAACACAAGTTATTACGCAACAATTACGTACCTAGTATTATGAAGAGATAAGGTCAGGGTTCAGAAAATCAATAAAGTCTCAAATTGACTATAAATCAGTTAATTAATTTTATATTTTAATCATTGTTGTAGTATTAAAATGTGTAATGTTCTTTTACAAAAATTACACACAGAAAATAGAAATTACAAAGTTCAGAGTAGGTAGTTTCAGAGAAAGGCAAACTCAGACTGAGTCGGTGGCCCAATATAATAAATTATTTAGCGTTATTGCCTAATACCGGCATGGTAGCCGGCATAGAGCCGTGGTAGCTCAGATGGTTAGCGCTCGCTGTAAACATAAAAGAACCGGCATAATACCGGCATGGTAGCCGGCATAGAGCCGTGGTAGCTCAGATGGTTAGCGCTCGCTGTAAACATAACAGAACGCGAGCAACCCGGGTTCGATCCCCGCCGGCACCAACGAAATTGTTAATTGCAATTTTAAGTGCTGATATACCACGTGCTCGGCGGTGAAGGAAAACATCGTGAGGAAACCTGCATGTCTTAGGAATATGAAAAAAAATATTTCGAAGACATATGAAGTTCGCCAACACGCTTTGGGGCAGCGCGGCGGACACTTCCTTGCCCTAAAACCCTCTCAGAAATAAGGGGAGGCCTTGCCCAGCAGTGGGACATATATAGGCTGTAACTTCACTTAACTTCTTATTGCCTAATAAAGTCCACTGCTGAACATAGGCCTCACCAGTCAGGTATTTGCCATAGTTGCCACGCTTAGCAAGCGGTTCGGCAATCGCAATTTTTTATTTTAGTCGTAATTAGGAAGATGCTGCTGCCCATCTTCTGATTTGTTTCCCTCCGTTGCCTTTTATGACAACCACTGGATGATATGGGTCGTGGATATCTTACACCGCCACGCCATGGCAATAAAATCTAAATTTACAGATTATATACGTTCTCTCATTTCTGAGAGGGTTTTAGGGCATGGAAATGTCCACCGCGCTGCCCCAATGCGTGTTGGCGAATTTCACATGTCTTCGAAATTTTTTTTTCCTATTTTTAAGCATGTAGGTTTCCCCACGATGCTTTCCTTCACCGCCGAACCCGCTGTAAATCAGCAATAAAAAATTTCATTGGTGCCGACGGGGATCGCACCCGGGTTGCTCGCGTATTGTGAAATTTACAGCGAGCACTAACAATCTGCTATTGTTTTATATTATTTGCATGGTGATTATTTATTTTATATTATTTCCACGTATGTTACATATCTGTGTATTGTTTTATAACGGCGAATACAGTTTCTTTCTTTCTCTTGTTTTTCGAACTAATATAAACGATAGATGCGTGTCGTTGTCCGCAGTTTCTGACACAATACTTAGTGTCTTTGCCTGTGTTTTTACCTGTCCCAGAAGCAGACTTTAATGCATTCGCTTGGGCCTGCCTTTTTGAGATAAGCCGCCGTGATCAAGAAAAAAAAAACGGTCAGTGACACATCATATAATAAAAACTACAAGTTAAAGTTACGCCCCGAATTAAACTTTAAAACTGGCATTGTTACAAAGAGATATGTAAGCAAAGATATTGAAAAGTAAACATTATTTAAGGTGGTACGTCAGACCAACGCAAAGATCGCAAAGATCACGTTTGAGACGTGACTCGTATTACGAAAGCAAATTGCCTAGGAAAACTGACGTATATATGTTACAGCCAAAGAAACAAATCCGGATATTATACATATTATATAGCCATTATTTATAATGTCTACTCAATTTAGATGAAGTGATAATTGATACAGAATTAATCGCATTAACTAGCAATTTTATATAATATCTTCGAAGACTTGGATAATGTAATAAAACAAGTATGTAGGTATATGTAAATATTATAAAATTATATTTCAATTTGCCTTAAGCATACTTAACTATATGTGTAGCAAATAGTAATATTTTAGTAATAATAGAAAAGTAATAATTATAATGTTTATTTTAAGAATAAAATAACATTATCATAGATAACAATTCTACGTTAATTAACATTGATAAAAAATTATTTAACTTTAAATACTTTATAAAGTAAATTTAAAGCTCACTAGCCATAAAACAAAATTAAAAAAAAACACAGAGATCAATACAAGTATTTGGTATCACTCTTTAAAGACTACAATAATAAAATATTTAAAATGAACTGACATGAATTAATTGGGTTATAATTATTTTTTATTCTTACAAGTAAGGCTCTTGTGACATTTTGAGTTACACATGAGGTTTGACTTTTTACATTTACACCTATTATAAACGCATTCTCCAGTACAGTTGTAATGTAGAAATCCTTGGCCGCCAAGATGTGACTCTTTTTTCGCACATTCTCTGATGGTAACTTTATGTTGGGGAACGATATCAACTGTAATAAACGTTTCTTTGCAGACAGTGAACTGATTCCTTGCATAAAATTGATTTAGTATTCCATGCTTAGTGCCTAACTTATACATTCCTTCTGTCTCCTGAGAAATTATAACAGCCATAATGTTCCTATCATCGGCTTTGGCGCGGTCTACATCAGGAATTTTTACCACTACATTATCGCCTGTATTAGCAGCAGGATATTTTACAGAAGATAGAGCTAACATTTTATCTGCTTGCTTTTTCAGAGATTGTCCTAAGTTGTTTCTTTTTATCGTGAGCAATTACTATTTCTTGGTCACTTTGCGTTATTTTTGACGGATCTATAGTATTTCCTTGGTTTTCGGTCTCTTTATCAGATTTTCCTGTCAGGTTATTTGGAATTTCATTTTGCGAATCAGTGTTCAAAATTGTAGTATCGCTTTCTATTTGTTCATCTTCATTAATCACAGCGTCGGTAATATTGGGTTCGGTTTCTCTCTCCTTATTCAACTGGTTTTCGTCTTCATTCAGTATAGATTCTAGCTCTTCTTCTGTTGACAGTTCAACTAGCGCGTCTTTAGGAAGACTATTTAATCCGACTTTAGCTTTACAGCCAAACATTGCTTCGAAAGGGCTACGATTTATCCCTGCGTGATACGCTCTGTTCTTCATAAATTGAATAAAGCGTAATCCTTCAGACCATTTCGTCGTCTTGTTAGATTCCAGCCAAGTACAAAGGATCTTCTCGATGTCTCGGTTAGACCTTTTAACAGACCCTTGTGATTGAGAGTGTCGGGGTTTACCATGAACGATTTTTAATTCCGGCCACATCGCACAGGCTTCTTTGACCACTTTGTTAGCAAATTCCCTACCATTATCGCTTTGCAAAATACTAGGCGCTCCGAATGTAGTAAAAATGTCAAGTAAATGATACGCTACCTCTTCTGCTCGCTTGCTTTTTAACAACCGCAGCTGCACGAATTTTGTTAGGTGATCTTGATACACCATGATGAATTTATAATCACCATCATCTTGTGATTGAATGTCTATTAGATCAACTTGACACCTTGAATTAAGCTCGTTGCTGATAATCGGTTTTACAACTAGACCTTTTTTGGCAAACTTTTTTTTCTGACAAGATTCACTCAGATTCAAATACACTGTAACGAGTTCAGCAGTTACATTTTTATATCTTAATTTTAAATCTTTCATCATTCTGACTCTACCGCTGTGTCCAATACTAATATGAAAGTCGTGGATTATTTGAAAAGTTTCGTCTAAGTGAGCGTAGTAAATAATGGGATCACCTTCGTTTTTCACCGGAATAATTAGTTTTTCTGATGCTCCAATTTTGACGACATCGTATCTTGCTAAGCACAGGTAATCTTCTGGTGTTTTCTTAGTAATCTTGTTCTTTGATTCTTTTACTTTCAAAATTAAAGACAAATATTGATCATTTGTAAACAACTGATAATTTTTTCCTTTACTTGCAATAAATACAGTGTTGTTTCATAGAAACGTTTTTTCATTTCATCTGCCATCATCAGACACCGATACAAATGTAAAAAATCGCGGAAATTGCGGCACACACTGCGCGACCTCTCATGACAAAACGACAACTAACACTATTGCGTCAGCCACGAGATCGCGGTAATCACGCCACGCGGCAGCGGGATGAAGAGCGGGAGGGGTAACAAGTCAGTTACACCGTATTTATTACTTTGGCTAACTTTGACCCGCTATTATGAATAATATCCGGATAAAGTGAATAATAAAATATCATATTGTCTATTCAATTTTGCTATTATATATAATGACCAGTCATTATGTATAATAGCTATTTAATCACTATGACTGTAACATATATATATATATATATATATATATATATATATATATATATATATATATATATATACACGTGGTTGACTGGTAGAGAATGCCTAAAAGCATTAAGTCCGCCAATTGTACATTTAAGTAATAAGTAAATATATACATTTTAAGTACATAATCCAATAAGTTTTTGGAATCGAAAACTTGATTTGCACAAATTTTTTCAAAACTTGATTCGAACAAATGAAGTTAGAGAAATAAATTCTGTTTTGTTGAGATTTTGATGATGATGATTTAATAATGAGCCATTGTCACAAAAAATGTTTCGTTGTTGACACTTGACGGAAACATTGTTCGTGTGCAAATTGGAGAAAATCGAAATTCGTGTGGTTATTTTTTCAAACAATTGTGTTTTTTTTTAAGAATTGCAGTCTACCTTGTGAGACAATGCTTGCTTCGTTTATTGAATTCTGTGATACTATAATAGTGCGCGGAATGCTTATTGGTTCTGTGTCTTAATAGAAAAGTTTATACCTCAGGACTGGTCCCGTATAAATTTGAAGAAAAATTTCAACCCTAAGGCTGCATAGAAAGGGAATGAATTTTTATGTGACAAATTTTACATGTGTAACTTTTAATATTCCCTAGTCTTCTCAAAAAGGTATAATTTAAACTTATAACAAAAAGTGAAAACTGATTTTGAAGAACTTTGAAGAATAAAATGATTTCCATATAATCTTCTCGAGTCGCTTCTGAGACAGCGTTTCGAGGAAATAAAGTTAAAAAATACTTTTTTTTATAAAAAAAATATGTACTAGAATGCTATTAAATTCACTAATATTCCCTTTAAGTACTCCAGGTAAGCTTAAAATGCCTGTGTTAGGAGTGTTTTACGATAGTAGTCGAATGACGGATTCGAACCCTCGACCTTTCGCGTTGACGGTCCGCACCCTGTCATTAGACTACTATGATAGTAGTTCGTAGTTAGTAGAAAGTAGTACTATCGCTTCATAACACCTATTATTTGTTGTATTGACCTTTATAAATGAAAAAAGGCGATACCTGTGGAATTTGTTTCGGTGTTTTTTTCTATTCTATAAAAAGAACTTAATTCATAAACGGAAGTATACTAAAAAAATGACGTTTGACAAAAGAAGCTTTAATTTTTCACAAAGAAGTTTTGTCGGGAACTCGACTCTGGCGGAATGCTTCTCCTATATTATCGTTTTAATAATAGATTAGTTAATTTTTATAAATGAAAAAAGGCGATACCTGTGGAATTTGTTTCGGTGTTTTTTTCTATTCTACAAAAAGAACTTAATTCATAAACGGAAGTATACTAAAAAAATGACGTTTGACAAAAGATTTTTAACGGAAGTCGTTTTAATAATAGATTAGTTAATTTTGATACGCAAAGTAGTGTGATTTTGTACATTGAACTCTGCGCATGTGTTCTATTATTGGATACGATAAAACAAGTTATCTAAGCCGTTTTTTATCGTTTGATTGGGTTTAGTTTTAAAAAAATTCTCTCATTTCTGGCGTAATTCATCTCAACAATCAGAATGTTACTCCATATCGTCTCGTGAGTCGAAATGGGCTGGTCAATTCTCTTACGCGTCGTCGGCAAGTACGCTGCAGCTATTACATCTACACTAATATTATAAAGAGGAAAGATTTGTTTGTTTGTTTGTTTGTTTGTTTGAATTGAATAGGCTCTGAAACTACTGAACCGATTTGAAAAATTCTTTCACCATTAGAATCCTACATTATTCCTGATGAACATAGGCTATAAAATGTTTTCAAAAAAATTTAGGGATCCGTATAAAAACTTCGTTAATGTAACCCAAGGTGTGAAAAAAATACCAAAAAAAACCTTATATCGCGTACGCTGCGGAAACTATTGACAATAGAGCAAAGTGATGTGCTACAGTTTTATGAAGGACATCAATATCTACATAAAAGTCTGCAATACCATATGTCTAACTATTATAGTTATCTCACAATAACTACTTTTCCATGTTAAAATATTCAATAGTAACGTCGAAAAATCCTTATATCGCGTACACTGCCAGCACCATGTGATGCGGGTGTCACTGGGGTGTTATTAGAAATAAAAATATAATAATCAAATATTAAAAAAGAACAAAAAATAAAATAAAAAAGTTAAAAAAATAATAAAAGAAAATCATTATATATACTCATATATATAATACTAGCTGTTCCCCGCGCTGAAATTTATTACGATTAAAAATTTTTGCGAATGACCGCAATTCTTTTTCTAAAATAAAAATAAAACTAAGTTACTCCTTATAACATCAGCTATCTGCCAGTAAAAGTTCTGACAAAGTTGGTTCAGCCATTGCGGAGATTAGCCGGAACAAACAAAAAAACAGACACAAAAATTTTGAAAAATTGTGTTTTGTTTTACAATATTTTATACAGCTGTGCCCCGCGGTTTCACCCGCGTATATCTCCGACATGACACCTCGCTCATTTAGTTCAATCATTTTAGCTAAAAAATTGGCAAAATTAATGTAAAAATTATCGGCATATGTACGTTATACAGCAAAGTTAAATTTTATCCACTCTCTCTCTCCCCCTCCCGGATGAACGCCCCAGAAAGTGCCCCAAAACGGTTTTTTTTTTCAGTTTTAAGGATAACTGTACATGGTACATGAAAAGTGTGCAGGTACGAAATGATCCTTAATGAATTTTCTATCAACCTTTTATGCATACGAAAGCGATATCATTTAAAGTTTTTGCGCAATCTGTCAGAAAATATGAACATTTCTTATCTTTAATCGATTTTTTTTGCTCAAAGTTTTATTAAATTTTTTAGGTTTATAAAAACTTTACTGCCAAAATATGTATGACTAAATGATTTCTTATATTTACGCGAACATTGCACATGATTAAAACTACTTTTACGAATTTTATCGCGTTTATTTTTACTTTTTATTTTTAATTCCCGACGTTTCGGGCGCTTTCCAGCACCCATGGTCACGGGGGACTGAGATGACTGACGTCCCGATGTCATTGTTAAACCCGGAGTACCTTCAGCTTTTTTTAATTATTGTTTATGGTCCGATCTATGCAAAATGAACTGACTACGTCCTGAGGTCTTGCAGTGGTATGCTTGGGTTTAGTTTTAATTTTATTGATTATAGGATCCCAAGCAGGTGGTAGTACCCAGCCTCCTTCTCTATTGAAATTAGGATGTTTTTTAATTTCAATAGCCTCACGTATCATCCTTGGTAGGAATCGGTGTTCTTTCGCGAGGATTTGTGGTCTATCAAATCTGATGTAATGGTTGGGGCCGTCTAGGATATGATCACAAACTGCAGACTTCCCGGAACGTTGATGCTTCACATCAGCTATATGTTCTTTTAGGCGGGTCCTAATTGAAATCCTAATAACACCATTGGTCACACTGTGTATAGGAAAAAGACCCATACAAACCGATATTTAAACGGTGAATCTCACCACCATCCTTCACAGTTAGCTACCGTGGGCAAATCTTTGTTACAGAGCGCACGAGGGATCTGTGACAGCAAACACCTGGCCGCCGAGCTTCAGCACGTCAAGCAAGTTCTGCACGACAACAAGCTTCGGGTCCCGCGCCTACGTCACAGTGACCGAGTGAAGCCGGCCACAGTCGAGCGTGTGCCTGCTGTACTACCATATGTCAGAGGTGTCACAGACAAGATTGGCTATACCTTGAAGCGAGCTTCTATTAGAACATTCTACAAGCCGCCGAAGAATATTAGTCAGTTCCTACCATCCGTCAAGTGTCATATTCCTCTACAAGATGCAGGAGTGTACAAGCTTGATTGTGAATGTGGTCTCTCTTATATAGGACAAACCAAAAGATCAATTAGGACCCGCGTAAAAGAACATATAGCTGATGTGAAGCATCAACGTTCCGGGAAGTCTGCAGTTTGTGATCATATCCTAGACGGCCCCAACCATTACATCAGATTTGATAGACCACAAATCTTTCAACACCGATTCCTACCAAGGATGATACGTGAGGCTATTGAAGTTAAAAAACATCCTAATTTCAATAGAGAAGGAGGCTGGGTACTACCACCTGCTTGGGATCCTATAATCAATAAAATTAAAACTAAACCCAAGCATACCACTGCAAGACCTCAGGACATAGTCAGTTCATTTTGCATAGATCGGACCATAAACAATAATTAAAAAAGCTGAAGGTACTCCGGGTTTAACAATGACATCGGGACGTCAGTCATCTCAGTCCCCCGTGACCATGGGTGCTGGAAAGCGCCCGAAACGTCGGGAATTAAAAATAAAAAGTAAAAATAAACGCGATAAAATCCGTAAAAGTAGTTTTAATCATATGTATGACTAAAGTTACTCTTTCATTATGATAAAACTATTTATTTGAATAAGAATTAATACTATGACTATAACCAACTTTTGTGTCGACCTGTGATCTAATTAAATTTTAGAACACAAAAGCTACTATTGTGACTTAATTATGATAGTTAGATATATTCCTTACGCGGACTTTTTTTGTAGGTAATAATGAGTACTTTAATCATGTAGCACATAATTTTTATGTTACATAATAGTTT